ACACACACACACACCACACACACACACACACACACACACACACACACACACATACACACACACACGTACTTACTCAGATTAAGCTAAAATAAATCAAAGGTAACAAAGGCCCTACCCCTCCCCGAAAACACACTTTGAGTATAGTATGTTAGGAAGCCCCATGGGGCAGACAACATATCTCGACCGTTGGTCTTCTCCTCCTTTCTTTCTGTCACATGTTCTGTTGGGAACCAATTCTGTCACGTGTTCAGTTGGGAACCAATCACGCACTTTACCTTCCAAATCCAGTACCGTTTGACGATATAATTAATAATCGCACCTACGAAAACAAAACGCATAAAAGAGCAATAAACATTTTACAACAAACTAGAAACAATCTCAATCTTTTCCTTCACCCTTTCCCCCCTTCCTTACCCTTGTCCTTGTTCTCCTGCCCGCCTCGTCCCTCCCCGTTCCCCCTTTCTCCCCGTCCCCCTTCCTTTGCCACCCCTTCCCCTGTTCTCTGCCCCCAACTCTTTCCTCCTCCTCCTCCTCCTCCTCCTCCTCCTTTTTCTTCTTCTTCTTCTACTTCTTCTTTTTATTTTTTGGGTGCCTCACTTGGTTTACAAATACAGGAAAGATAATTGAATTTCTACATTTACTGATTCCGATGGGGAGATTTGGTTTACAGTTGCGTTCATACATCGGTACGAAGATAAATACACTCAGAAATACATTAATGTTACTTTAAATATCCCACTTCTACAGGCAGTAAACATGCTAATGCTGGATACCACTATGTAAAATCCTGCTATACTGAAATGAAGAATAAAAACAACACTTTTATACACAAAAGCTCAATATTGCTAGTCCCCGCAATGCTGCAGCTTGATTTTGAGCTATATTATTAAAGAGGAATGCCCAAAGACACAACCAAGTAAACACTGTTGTTGTTGTAGTCAGCATGGTCGTTATTGGTGTTATAATATTGTTCCTGTTACTTGCATGCCTGTTTTGAACGCACCGTTAGCTCAGTTGGTATCATGCTGGATTTCGAAGTGATCTGCCATGGTTCGAATCCGCAAATGGAGTGTTCTGAAGTTGGGTTGTCTTGGAGGGCTTTTAAGGCTCTCCTCCCATTTGACTCGGTCCAATCGGATTAGACATTAAATTCGGAAGTGCGACTCCATAAAAAATAACCTTACAGTGTTGAAAGAGTCGTTAAACATACAGTTTGGCATAGTTTGCATTTCGCGTGCGTTTCTCATCAGATTTGTGTCGTGATTAGCGGTCTGCTGCCCCTTTAATTAAGATAGCTGGTTCTTGTCTGTTTTCGTCGTGTGTGGGTTGTGTGGGTTTTTTTGTTGGGGGGGGGGGTT